AAAAGCTTCTATATAAAGTTATGCCTTTCAAATCATAACTGCTATAAAGAAACACTGATGGACTCAGTTCTGCTTCCATTTTGGTTTATTTGAGTTTTTATTTATTATTTTCCCACAATATAGTCCTTTTATAGTGTGTGAAAAAAGAGACAAAATATGTGAATGGACTCATTTACAGTATGCCAAAGGGGATTTAAATTCTCACACTCTCCCTGATCCTTGATATCACTTTTTTAATTCCATGTCTCTTAAAAGGTCATGTAAACATCCCATCTTAAAAAGTTCTATCATTTGGAACTTCTACAGCATTAATATTGGCCCCATCCCTCCCCCCCCCCCCAGATATTTCCACTTTGCTTGGAGCATGTAAAAACTCTCTCACACAATTGAAATGGAGTCTCAACAGTATTAATGTATTAAAAATTATCATTATCCAAATTGTTTCTATACAGTGCCACAGAAAGAAGTGTACAAAATTTTAAATGGGATTGAAAATGTAAAGCCAGATCATTACTTTAGGATGCAACAAGACGGTAGAATAAGAAGACTTAGGTTTAGAATTGTAAAGGGGAATTTCAAGGCAGATACCAGGAAGTTTTTCTTTATGTAGAGGTTAATCAACGACTGGAACAGGTTGCCAGGAAGGGTGGTTGAGGCCAGGACACTGGACTCATTTAAAAAGCTTCTTGATGCTGTAATGGGGTGAATGGTAGGTAGGCTGGGTGTTCTGGAAGAATGCGATCGGACATTCATTCAAAACGATCTTGTGATCCTTCCTAATCCTTCCACCATCCAAAGAACATCAGTTTATGTTGGTACAGATTCATAAGGCAATATTGCTGTCATATGTAGTTGATTCCATATGCATTCCATATGCACCTATGGTGCATTAACATATTGTCTTACCCCAGAGAAAGTCATTCAGAGTCTAATATTTTAATTTTTTCTTACCTGGGTGGGTACATTTTCAAACAGATGAATGTGCCCACAGTAAATCTTGGAATTCTTGCTGCAGTAGGGATTCCTCACTTTTATTTCCTTTCATGTTGATAGGTATTTACTTGTTTTTACACGTTTACAAAATGAAATTGCTGATATACACTGCCTCTGCTTTTGTGTTGCTGTTGGGGACATTTTGCATAATTTTTGTCGATTTTATTTCACTTGAGAATTTCTGCTGCAGAAATACATTGATGAAATGTCAGTGTTAATATGCACTGTACATTTTTATAGACATTTACATAGCTAGAAGTAAGTTGCAAGGACTCAATCTCACTGAGACACAGTTTATCCCCAATTATCTGCTGCCATGAATCAGCTCTGTGATGGTGTTGGACTCTGTCAACTCATTTCCCCCATATTTGTTTGTATTTGCATAACAGAAAGACATATTTACCAATGAGTAGAGATATTTCTTGTGGTTTGTCTTAGATCATCTTGTGGTCATTTTCTGTTGAGAGCTCAGTCTCCCTTTCTGGAAGAATTGTTTACTCTACTTGCTGAAAACAGTTTTTTTAAATATATTTTGAACAACAAAGACATACTTTTTTAAATAAAAAACTGTTATTTAGAGATTAAATTAAAACCTTGAAACTCCTTACTGTGCTACTTTTCATAGAATGATACTGTCCTTTGTTTGGCACAGGGAAGTATTCCGTATTTTTTGCGCTGGTGACGCTTCACGTCCTTGATATGTGACGATATTCACAAAGAGATTAATATGTCTTATTGGACAGTATTTTACTGTGAGTTAGGATATTCGGTGAATAGTATGTGTTAGCTCACTAGCATTAAATACTTACCAATTATTGCCATTTATGATTGCATAAAATGTAAAAAGAGAGGGAGTATTGTTGTGGATATTGCCTGATCTTTGTATTTGCCAATTCAACTGTTAAATAGCTGCTTGTTTTGAAATACCAGACTTACAATTACAGCAGAGAAAATTAGATCCCAACTGCAAAAAAATTAGAAATCACCCATCAGTTCTGACATACTTTAGACAGTGTCTAACATACAGTAATATTATCCTCTGTGTAACTGTGCATAATTTTGAAGCGAACTACGTAGACAGCAAAGATTGAAAGAAGATTTGTTGAAGAGTACACTGACTTTTTATCCAACTATAAGTAGAGCTGCATGCCAATAAAAAAACAAAAACAATGCATCCATTCTAATAATATGTAGTAATTAATTGTGTATTTATGTCTTTCTGAGTAACTTTAAAATGTATGATTTCGATAGCACATTAAAAAAAAATTAGGAATGTATGTTTTGGATCACTTGACATCTCAAAACAGTCCTTCATGTTAGGTTCAAACATACCATTCAATAGCTGTTCACTCCAGTTGCTTTGCCTGGAAAAATCATGGATTAGGGAATTGCACTAGTGTTAAGTAAACTTAAGTATGATTTTTTTTAGATTGCTCCAAGGAACAAAATAAGTGATTGCTCTTTACCACAGATTTGCAAAATAACAGGAATAATACTGAAATTAGAATTTTATCTGATGTTACCTGTAATCCAGGTTACACAAATCTTGTAAATTCGTTGCTGATGTTCTTATGTTTATGAAAGAAAGATATTGAAAGACATGACTTTTTTAAAAAATGTGGTGACGACTGATTCATCTGAGTGTTCTTAGAAATCACAAACTCGAACCCTTGGTTATTATGGTTTGCATTGCATCTGTAGGTATAGGACCGTGCATTCCATATCTATACGGATGACACCCAACTCTTATCTCCCTGCCTCTACCCTCGATTCCAGGACCACTGCTGTTCATGAAGTACTGAATGAGTTCCAACTTTCTATAGCTCAATGTAGGTGAGACTGAGGCTCAATTGCTTGGCTCCCGTCAGTGCCTGGGACTAACTGCATCGATCTGCAAATTGATGCGCACTTCACCTCATCGAGCTGGTGCAAATCCTGTTATCCTGTTCAAATCCCCAACTGTCCTTCAAACTTTACATCCATCTTTCACTTCTTCTGCTTTCCTCACCTCCACAATATCCTCTGCCACTACCTCCTACCCCCAGGCTGCTAAGACCCTCATCCATGCTTTTATCACTTCTAGGCTCAATTACTCTTAACAGCCTTCTCATTGGGAGAACCCAGTTCCTCTCTACGCAGTGTGTGGATCACTCAAAAGTCTGCAGCCCATGACCTCTGTGTACCTAGCTCTGTAAGCCTATCACCCCCAGCCTTGCTTGGCTCCTCCGATGATCCCCATTCCCCAGAGAATCAAATTCAGGGTCCTTGTCCTCACTTTCAAATACCTCCACGGCATTTGTGTTGTCCACCTGCTCCGCCCCACCATCGGTGGTTGAGCCTTCAGCCATTCTGCTCTTGCTCTCTGGAACTCCATCCCACATTCAAATGTTGCCTTTCCCTTCCCCTTCTCAGCCTCCTCCTCCCGGCCTCCCTACCCCCAGTCCATTACATGAAGAGCTCTTTGAGACACGTTTCCGATGTGAAAGGCAGTGTACGCATGTAAAACGTAGGGTATAATTTGCCTCAAATGCTGCTCTGCAAAAGCTTGTGTGAGCATTATCTCTCAACATGGGGAACTAATCTCTTGTTTTGTATTTAAATTTATTGTATTTTTTAAAAAAGGTATTACGTCAGTATTTTGAGTCTTTTCATCTGGAGTGACTTGAAGCACTATTTTAAAGTGCAGATCAAACAATACAGTATAAATAAAGTAGATTTGTTCATTACTGACTGAAAACAACTCCAGATAGTAGTCCTGTATTAACAAACAGCCTGAACAGAATGACCATAAGGATTCCGCACCCAAGCTAATACTGAAAAGCGCATTAAATCAGTAAACCGGTATCTATCTGTCCAAAATGATAGTTGCAATAGTCATGATTATTATATAACATAATCAGACTGGGTTGGGCTTTCATGCAAACAGTGTGGTGGTGGCAGCAGTGGTGGTGGGGTGGGACTCGGTGCAGGGGAACGAACCACAATTTTTAAAAGCCGAATGGCCTCCTTCTGTGCTGTATAATTCTATGATTCTGTGATATGGGAACACTGAAATGCTCATAAAGCAATATAGTACTTTAGAGCTTCCATAGTCTTTCAATATTTAGCATTTCTATAAGGTTATTTAAAAAAATCAAAGCTGTTAAAATATCTCATCTGCAACAGAATTCCAGTAACGAGCTCTGCCATTTGCATAATGAGGAACACACCACCATCAGTATTGTCAAGGCAAAAAAAAGTTTTCCTTTCATAAATGGATTTAGTTTTCCTATCTTAGGCACATTGCAGGTTCATTAACTGTGGTACAGCTGTTCCTCTGCACATGTTGTAGTAGCCGGTTATCCTTGTGAACAATGTGTGCATCTGGAAGTAGATTAGTCCTTACTTTTAAGATTCTTTGATATACCAACAATTTTAACATAAGGTTTGTTTTTATGGCTTCCTGCGTTTATGGAGAACTATTATAAATGCCTCCTTTATAAAGCACATCTTCTTTGGGTCCAAAAACAGCCTCATAAAGGAAGGGCCTACTCCACGATGTGAATTGAAGTGGTGCATTTCAGCGATGAAATCCCAATGATTAATCAATAACTGATCTCAATGACCTGATAAGGCCCTGCGCTATATCAAATGCAAGGATTATTATTATTATTTTTATTAACAAGCGTGGTTGTATTAATTTTCCCAGATAGCGCTGCCCCTCCCCTCATTAACTTGATCCCTCTACTGGTATATCAAACAATCCATAATAAAATAGAAGAATATTGGAATATGATTATAAATTAATATTTTTTCCACTGTTATAAATCATTTTGTTACTTCTCTAAAAACAAATAAGTGTTTTCACAGTATATGGTACCTTAAAATTGTTCTATCATAAAAAAGACAAGATTTATGCTTAGTTACAGCAATAAATAAGACTGTATTCTACTCTAAAGAGACCAGTATTTTCTTGTCTTGTTAGTTTTGTCTTCTATTGTTGTTATAACATTAACTTTTGTTATCAGCAGGAACAGATGCAAGAATCTGTGAATTGAATTGAACTGAACTGAGTGAGGATTGAGCAGAAAGAACTGGTCTTGAGAAAACAGGAGTGAGTTAACGTCAAAAGTACAGGACTTCTAGGACAGGAGAGAAGAGGGAGAAGTATGGGGAGAAAAAAGATTCAGATCACGCGGATTATGGATGAACGAAACAGACAGGTAAGAGATAACTAACAAAAGGCAATAATCAAATTCAACCCTTATTAGAGCACTAACCTGAATCCTCCAGCAGTGGAACAGTTTGTAATCTTTCAGTGTTGACCTATCCATGAAGGATTGCCACAGCAACATTTTTCATTCATCATTAATAATAAGTTGGGATGCAGTCAACTTTCTGTGTGCGCCAATTACATTTAAATGTAAATTTAAAAACATCTCCATGAACAGATGGATGCTTAAAGCTGCTGATGTGTGCTTGCATCGTCCTTCCGGGTATAACATGGTGACGAATGGGTTATTACAGGTAATGAAAATATTGTGACTTTTTCGCAGCTTTGAAGGTGCAGAATCCGAGTCTACATCTTAACTATTTTTCTGCACCACAGAAAAGCTTTTTCATTATATTAAGAATTTCCATAAGCTATAAATCCAATACTTAATAACCACTACTGAATAAAGACACAGACAGTAATGATTTAAGCCAATCCAATTGAAAGTTCACAGAACAAATTAAAACTAGCAGTGCTCTTAAATTGACAGACAACCTTCCTTATATTCCTTTGAAAGAAGATAGGTTAGATTAAACTTAAGATACTGTAATTGCTTTGTGGGCATCAAAGTGCATCAGNAAAAAGACATTCAAAGTACACTGATCTCAGCACAGTGTTTTATATTTTATTAAAATTATTTTCCTCCATTTATTCTTTGCTTAATCTCTCCGATGCTATCTTTTTTTTCATCTCTGTAAGCCTCATAACATTGTCTTGAAAGAAACCAATCTAAGCACAAATCTCATTTCCTTGCTCTCAAGGATTCTCTCCATTGGATTAATAAACACAATACTATGTATTGGGAAAGAACAACTCTTAGTGGAAAATTATGTTTAAAGAACAAACAGAAATAGAATTTATGATGAGTACATTCCATGTTTTTTTCCCTTAGGCTGGTTATTGCTTCAAGGAAAGTCAGAAAGCAATCATGTTGCCTTAATCCAAGTCTCAATGGCTTCTTTAAATAGCTTACAGTTAGAACTGAAATTAAGAATTTTAATGTTATTTTATAAATTATTATATCGCTGCCAACCAATTGAATGTGTTGCCTATTCCTTTTAGTCATGTATTTTGCAAGACATTCATAGATATTTATAAATGCAGACACTTCCCCCATTTCCCCAATCACCGTAACAACGAATGCAATTTACACATTGAGGTTTTAGTCAGACCAAAGCAGTAACAGTTATTTTGTGTATAGTGATGGTGTAGAAGCTGGATGAAATGTGCTTCTCCCATGGGTACATTTTGCACATAAAGAGTCTAAAAAGTTGATTAACCAAAATATGTAAACTTTTTGCAGGAGATTTAATCTGAGATGTATCTAATACAAACACAGAAATGTGCTGGGATCTAAACACAAGAGTCCCAAAATAGTGGTCACCAGAGGTACATCATTTTAAACCTCTTTAACTTGATCTACTTCCGAAGTGGAGTTTCCATAGATTGGAATAATGCACTTCCAGCGATTGTCAGGAGTCACAACAGCATTTGATACCCTGTTACAAATATTATGTTTTAGATTTGACGTTCTTTAGTTATGGTATTAGAATTGTACGGTGATTCCTCTAACTGTACCTTCATTCTTAAAAATGTAACAGATAAAACAGAAGTATTTTGAGGGACTAGGTGATATAATAGCTTAGCATACTGCCCTTTCACATCTGAGGTCTGGATTTGATGCTGAGATGGAAATCTTCCCTTTGATGGTTATCAGGATTGTATATCAAATACTTAAACTGTGTTTGCTTCAAATCATTATCTAGGAAATAATGGGCCTATAATAAAATCCTACACTTAACTTGGCATTTGATGCAGCTAACCTCAAAGAGCCCATACGCATGGCTCTTGTGGGAAATGGAAAAAATCACATTGAAACTATAGGGGTACTCTTCTGAGATTGGGCTAAAGTTAGGGGGAAATAGAGATGGGCATGCAGTATGCTGATATTGGATGCTTGAAATGGTGCTCTGTTTTCTGGTGCTAACATTGCTTGCCTTAATGAACAGAAAAAATCAGCTTTTCAAACTTCATATACAAATAATTTACCAATTTCTGGGATTTATTTAACAAGTAGAACCCAAACAAACTGATTCAGTTCATTATTCCAATGTAACATTCATATAATTCCCACTGTAAGAGAGTTTTGATGTGAGCAGTGGGAGAATTCCAGAATTATTGCAGAGGAGTTTCCTTGACCATGTTCAGAGATTTAAGTCCTGAATGCACAATTAATAATTTGACTCAGAATGTGATTTGTTTTTGGTCAGCCAGATATTTGACTCAATCTCTGCAACCCCCCCCCACCCCCTCCCCACGCTATGCTCATGGGTCTTCATTCCAAACTACTGAGAGTTTCACATTTGTATGGTTCTGTTTGTCTGGTATGGAGTTCACGTTCTCTCCCCAGAGTGACACATCTTGCTCACCCAATTCTGGAGAGTTTAGACAAAGTTTAGGTAAGAACCAATAATTGAGGATCCTAGAATGTACATTGTGCAGCTTGTCTTTGCAAATACTGGCTAGCTTCAACCTGCTTGCTAGGATTGCTAGGATTACTATACTTTTGGGGATTTGGCTTGCCGTCATCAAGTGTGAAGAATCCCAGTCGCCAGCGACATGTCTAATATGCCAGCTTCCTGGTCTATAATCAACAGTACCTTACAATACCTCAAGCCTGCTTGGCACAGGGACTAGACTACCAGACCCACCTTAGAGGGTCGACTTGATTCCAATCTTCCATTGTCAGGTGTGTCATCTTGGAACCAACTCAGCCCCAAAGAGATTTGTTTATGTCATCCCAAGAAGGAATATCACTAGATGGCCATTAGACATCACACAACCACAGGTTTGAACCTTCTTTAGGAATATATTCAAGTAACAGAATCCAGACAAACAGCCAATTGGTGAATAGCACAATTCAGCATAAAATCTGTGACAAAATTGCCATCATCCTCCTGCCCTTATCCTACCTATTGATTAATGGTTCCACCAGTTGGAAATGCACAGCCTCAGCCGTAGCTACTTGCCTCTCTGCATACCAATCAAGATAGGCACCAAGTCCTATATATATGGGTGTGTGTTCATGGACCAGGATCCCTGGTAACGCCATTCACCAGCTATTACCACAAGACTCATACATTTCCTAAAATGAACTATTCGATGGAAGTTTTAAACTGCAGAGTAATGTATAACAGCGAATAAATGCAAGACAGTAATATGATTTAAGAGGTGTAGCTAATGTCTTAAATTGCAAGAACAAATCATAATCACCTTATAAATGTTACTGTAATCATGTAGCACTGAGTTTGTAGCCCTGAAATCAATGCCTGTAGCCAGGTTATTTATAACAGATATAGTACAATTTCATGGGATATATTTAATCAGTCTTTACTTTCTGCACTAACACTGATTGCCACTGTGGGCACCACTACCCGACGTCACTGTGCACTTAATGTCTGGCAACGCTTACAGAAAGCAATCTACAACTGTAATATCATTATTATGAGTTATTGCAAAATAATTTGCAGATTGCTGAGGAATAGTAATATATGCCAGATGTACATTCAAAGCAGGTCTGTTTCCTGATAATAAAGGCACATTGGTGTAGTAAAGACATTACACTTGGTGAACATTATCACACATTAAGGAGATGGGTTGCATTGATACAACCGTAGACACGGGAGAAAACAGTAACAGAATAGATCTCCCATGCACAAAAGCGCACATATATCAAATCAGAAAAAAATAATTGATAGAATGAATTTAAAGCAGTAAACTGATCTGACAATTCAGGTAATAGTCATAGGTTCCTTAAATTTCACTCTTAAGACATCGGGTTACAACACATTCTCAGGGATTTAATTTTTTTATGAATTATACATGATGATTTCCTGCAATTTTTCAAGCTTAAAAATAATGAAACCTAATGTCATTCATTGAACAAACATCATCAGTGGTATTTGAGTCTGATTCAAGATACGTGTCTAGTTTATTACGTTATATTTTCATACTGAAGTCAAGTTGTAAACAACAACAATAAAATGACATTTGTATAGCACCTTTCATGTCGGGAGGACGTCTCAAGGCGCTGGACAGATAAGAGTTTTCTGACCCGAACTGGGGATGGGAATCAGAGAGGGTGGAGGGCAGGGGGGAAGCAGGGAGATCGAAAGCACAGTCGAAGAGGAGGGTCTTGAGATGGGTCTTGAAGGTGGCGAGGGAGGGGGCGAGATGGGACTGTGGGATGGAGTTCCAGAGGGTGGGGGCAGAGTGGCGGAAGGCCCACCCACCAATAGTGGGGCAAGCAAGACGGGGGACGTGAGCAGAGGGAGCGAACAGGATGGTAGGGGGTTAGGGGGTCGCAGATGTATGGGGGAGCAAGACCGTGGAGGGCTTTGAAGGTGAGGGCCAGGATCTCATACTGTATCCTCTGCGTAATGGGAAGCCAGTGGAATCAGGTGAGGATGGGGGTGATAGGGTCGCAGAGCCTAGTGCGGGAGAGGACATGGGCTGCAGAGTTCTGGATGATCTGCAGCCTGTGGAGGGAGGAGTTAGGGAGGCCGACAAGCAGTGAATTTGCATAGCTGAGTCTTGATGTAATGAAGGCATGTATGAGGGTTTTGGCGGCCTGCGGTGTGAGACAATGTCGGAGCCGGTGACGTTCCGGAGGTGGGGGATGCAGAGCGGTTCATGGCGCAGATGTGAGGCAGAAAGGATAGTTGAGGGAGCTGATAGCTGAACGGGAGCCAATCAGGAGAGCCTCGGTCTTGTTGACATTCAACTGAAGAAAGTTAGCTCTCATCCAGGACTTGATGTCCAACAAACATTCTGTCAGGACAGCAGTGGTCCTGGAGTCAAGGATGGAGGCAGAGAGGTAGAGTTGGGTGTTATCCACATACATGTGGAAGGTGACCCTATGTCTGCGGATTCTCTTTGACCGAGCCTTCA